GGCTGCCTGGCCTGCTGTGCTCTTCCAGCTCCATACTGTGTTATCAATGTATGGCCCCAAAAGTCTGCATGTTTCACCAGTCTGCCCATGAAAACCCTAGAGAGAGATGGAACAGCTAAGTCTAGGAAATTCTTCAGTGCTTTGTAAGACCCAGAACTTCTATTCACCTCTCCAATGTCACATTTATTTCTTTATTGAGAGTTCACGCAGTCACTGAGCCAAGTGGTAGCCTTGTCAGAGATTAGAGGGGGCTTTTTAGGCTTTGCTTCAAGTCAGAGGATACTCTCCAAAAGTTTGAGCCATTGTTTAGAAAAAAAAAGTTTTTAATCAACTGTTCAAGGTTACCATCACACACCTCTGAAGCAGATGAGACTTGAACCCAGGCCTCCTAGTGTAAGGGTAGGGGCACCACAAGAATGCTCTCATTTTCTCAGCATCCTGTTCAGGGATGTTGTTGTTTAGACTGCAACACAGATGCAGCTGAGATAGTTTCAGAGACCCCAGTGAGGTTGGTTGGCTGCGTAGAGGCCTTGATTATATAATAATGCTCATTATGTACCACAGGTTTCCTTTTGCTATATTGTTAGATGAATTGTTTGCTGAATTGTTTTGCTAATTTAGACACGGTTTTAAAGGTTTCCCATTCTCTTCACTTGTAAGATGAAAAAACAGGTAAACTGGTCATTCATTTCATTTCTGTTTGTGGAACATTGCTTATCCATCCACATCAGAAGAAAGACTAAATTTCATTTTAAATTAATGCAAGTTAAGTGCATTTGAGAGACATCTTATTATATAAATTTAGCTTCTTTCTAAACAGATGCAATGCAAATGGGAGAAATGATTAATTATCAATCAAATTTAGTCATAATGAGCACGCATTCTTTGGGAACTGCTTTTGCACACTTTTACACAGATTGAATGAATAAGTATATATTGGCGTGATATTTTACAATGTCATGTTGTATAACTTAATACATGGGTGATTGCCGGCACACAGAATTAATGGCAAAATGGGAACACTTATTTGCATGCAATGTAGCATTTTCTGAAAAAAATCAAATTGTTTTCCAGCTATGCTGGTAACAGTTTCATAGCAAATGCTGTAGATCACAGAATCCCTACAGCGTGGAAACATTTCTTCCAGGCATGCCTTACAGCAACCGCAGTTCTTTCAAAATTTTATTTAACATTTAACTCTCTTTGTATATCGTTTGACATAATAATACCATGATTTAATCCTTTGTTTTTCAGCTGAACACATGTTGCTTGGGATCGTCACAATGCTGGTTCATAGCAATTATCATTCTTTTTGTATGAAGTGGCGGTTTTACAGCTGGATGACCTTTCTGCGTCTAACCCTTCCCAATGATCAGGCTGGGTACTGGCACCAATACACAATGGCTTGCCTGTGGTCAGCTGTGGGGGAATTCCAGTGGCCAACACGTTTCAACTGCTCTACTGTAGCTCAGAAACTCTGGTTCATCCTCAGGAACAAGGACACAGCATATCAGCCATTGACTGGTGTGAGTTTCAGAGACAGCAACAGCGATGTGTAAAGAAATAGCATAAGAGTTTCTTGCATTATTTTTGAAATTTAAAACATGGTGAAATGTGGTAGAAAAAGCTTTGTTTTTGGTGTCAAAAGGCTCATTTGGCTTTGCTTATTTTTAGAATCAGCAAATCAAGCATCTCCTTCCACCTACTTTCAATTGACAGGGCTGAGAACGAGGTATGATTAATCTGCTTATACTTTGGATGAAATGATAAAAGACAATGTGAAAATTTCTCCACTTATCTGGTCCTTACATTGTTTTGCTTTGAAGGTTTTTGGTTGTTAACCCTTGTTCTGCTCTCACCAACCTCTGGAATGAGATTCCTACAAGGTGAAACAACTTGTTATAATGAAACATATTTTCTAGGTCAATTTATCCTTCAAACAGCAAAGGTTGTCAATTGGAAATTAAAATTTCTTTAGAAATAATAACAATTCAAAGCTTCACATGCTGTAATTAATTCTGCTATATAAATTCAGGGAGATCAATTCTTGTTGCACAGTTATAGATTAACAGCTAAAGGCTTATATCATTGTTTATAGTAATTTATAACTACATAAAATAATCCAAATTAAATAAAACAAACACATTGCTACAACATTCATGAATTTTAAATCAATCTTTCTGGATTTGATTCAACTTAAACCAGACAGAGTCATACAGCATGGAAACAGACCCTTCGGTCCAACCTGTCCATGCCAAATATGATCCCAAACTAAACTAATCCCACCTGCGTACTCCTGGCCCATATCCCTCCAAAACTTTCCTATTCATGTATCCATCCAAATGTCTTTTAAATGTTTTAATTGTACCCACATCCACCATTTCCTCAGAAGTTCATTCTGCACGTGAACCACCCTCTGTGTAAAAAATTTGCCTCATGTCTTTTTTAAAACCTCTCTCCTCTCACCTTAAAAATGTGTCCTCAGGTCTTGAAATTCCCCATCTTAAGAAAAAGACAACTACCACCAACTCTATCTATACCTGTTATTATTTTATAAACTTCTATCAGGTCGCCTTTCAACCTCCTACGCTCCAGTGAAAAATGTCCCAGCCTATCAGCCTTTCCTTGTAACTCATAACTTCCATACCCGGCAACATCCTGGTAAATCTCTTCTGAACTCCCTCCAGCTTGGTAATATCCTTCCTATAACTGGGCGACCAGAGCTGGACACAGTATTCCAGAAGAGGCCTCACCAATGTCCTGTACAACCTCAACATAACGTTCCAACTCCTATACTCAAAGGACTCAGCAACAAAGAGAAGTGTGTCAAATGCCTTTTTAACCATCCTGTCTATATGTGACACAAACTTTAAAGAATTAAGTACCTGCACCCCTAGGTCGCTCTGTTCTACAACACTACACAAGGCCCTACCGCTAATTGTATAAGCCCTACCCTTGTTTATTGTACCAAAATGTAATACCTCGCATTTATCCAGATTGAACTCCATCTGCCAATTTTCATGAGAAACAATGCCACTTTGGCCACTTTCTGCCTACTTCAGATATGACGACAGGTTGTCTGGGGTCATACTATCAGGTTTGCATCATTTGGCTGAATTGGATTTCCCCTGTAAGTGTGTGCAATGATTAGTCCAGTGAAAATAGCATCAAAGCGAGAACTCCAGAAAGCGCATCCCTGAATCAGTTTCTATCTATGACAGTTAAAATGATCAATGTGTTCTGAAGACTTGCTGAAACTAGACTAACTGAGAAAAAACCCCAGCAAGATTGTGTTTTTTTAAATTCAACAACACAGTTTGTGAGCTTCATTGCAGTCATTTTGAACTTGATGATCAGTGCATTACTAATGATGATGTCAATTTTGTAGAATCGGACATCAACAATTTTTTATATGTCTCTGTCTGTCATCTTTCATGAAATGTTAGCACTTTGGTATGAACTAGTCAAGACTTCATGACTTGTAATGTTCAGGTACAGTCTCCTGTTTCCAGCACAGTTGGGTGATGAACCTTACAAATAGATTTGTGAAAATTTTAAGTGGGAGAATATTAATTAGACCTTTGGCTTTTAATCAAAACAATTGATTTTCAATGGATAAAAATGCAAATCGTTGGGACAATTATTATTGTAGTAATCCAATATGGGATTTAGAAATATTCTCACCAACATATAACATCTTGTCTGATGTACTCCCCCACTGGGCTACGGCAGAGACAGTTTTCCCACTGCTTTCCCGCCTCGCTCCGAACCTGTGTCCAAAGTGGAGATGCCCACAGCTTGGGTCTGGTGGAGCTCTTAAGAGGCCAATTAATTGACAATTAAGTGCTGCATTCAACCTCTTGCTGCTATTTTAACAGCAGCAGCGGGCATGGGTATCAGACAAAGAGGTGGGGCGGGGATGTGGTAGAAACCTCCTTTAGAGATGACTGATGACTTATGGGTGTTAGCCCCCACTCCCTGTCCCCCACCCCACCCCCACCCCAGCTGGAGTCTTCCAGCCAGGCCCTGCTCTTGCCTTGACCGGCTCCATTGGTCTTACTTCATCGTGTTATGGGGCTGTAGCCCCGCTCAAACCTGGTGCCACTGGGGCTACTGTACACAGCGTTTGGCTGATCTGATGGGGGACTACTGAACACAGCACTTGGCTGATCTGATGGGCCAGCAGTTCTCTGAAGTGGAACCTCCTCCCTGGAACAGGAGCCTCCAGAGTGAAATGGCAGACTCCTTCCCACTCTTTTACACAAACAGGGGGATAGGTAGAGAATGTGACACTCTGTAAAATCCAGCCCATTTTAAGTAATGTGGAGTTAAGGTGTGTAGTGGAAAATGCGAAACAATTAAAAATTTAAAAGTGTGTCTGAGACGGGGTGAAATTCTTTAATTTGGACTCCGTTCTATGAACAACTTACTGTTTTAATACCACACGTTGACATGGTTTCACTGGAGAGAAACTATATGGTCTCTTTACATTAAAGAGTTAAATGCGCAGGAAACACCATGTCGTCTACACTTTAGTGTAAGTTGGGAAATGTGTACAACCTCATGGGACCATCATCCCAGGGTTTCCGTTTGATTTGAAAAACCTGATGGTATTTCAGGTTTGGAAAATCTCTATCAATCTCACTCACCTTTATCAACCTCAAAAAGAAAGTGTTACAAGAAACTGATCTTTGCTACCCAATCTTTTATACCACAAACGAAGGAACCCAACAGTACACAGCATAGTTTTCATGAATGATCCTACTGAATATTTGAATGATTTAAAAGCACAGAGCCTGATGGGGTTACTGAAGGTTAACTAAATCTAATAGACCGATGACATGTAAGGTTCAATACTATTGCCCACATTGAATGAGCTCATCTCAATCAGAGCAAAGTAAGCATATGAAATTTGGCCTCAGTGCCCCAGCAAGAGGGGATAGAAAGATTTTATCTCTTTATAGTTATCCAGTGGCTTGTGTTGCAAGTGTATATTGCTGGAAATAAGGAGATGACCAGAATGGAATTGATTGTGATTCCCACAGCAGTTTATTGGAATTCTATACATGCTGACTGTCAAGGATCACACTTTAGAAAGGTAAGGGTCTGGATGGGGACTAGTGCCTGTAAAACTACTCCAGGACAGAAGAAATTGTGAGCAATGAATAAAACCGTAATGAACACAAATCAAATAAAAGTCATTAGAGACTCATAGACTTTGCATCTTCAAATAGATGGTATTGAAGCAGCACCAAAATTGGCCGTCTTTGCTTTATTGAATTTAAAGAGGGTTCACAAAAACAGAGAATTGAGCGACTTCACCTTGTGGAGACATTGGAGAAGCAGAGATTCTTGAGTTTGGAGCTGACAAGATTATGGGAAGATTGACAGGAGGCTTTCAGAGTTATGAAGGGTTTAACTAGAATAGATAGTGTGAAACCTTTCACTGGCAAGAGGGTCACTAACCAGAGTACACCACTTTCAGTCATTTATAAAAAACACCTGGGAGAGATGTGGGCAAATAGTTATACACAATTATATGTTACGGTCTGGAATCCTGAAAGTATAGAGGGGCCAATGTTAAATGCAGGGCACATAAACTGTGGGTGAACAACATAAGGGAGATTGTGGAACCATGGGAGTTGTTGGTGTGACCATGGAGTGAAGGTCAGGCATGGGGAGTGGGAGTGAAGGTCAGGGGTAGGAGTAGGGATTGAAGGTCACGGGTGATAATAGAAAATGAAGGTCAGGGGTGATAATAGAAAATGAAGGTCAGGGGTGATAATAGAAAATGAAGGTGAAGGTCGGGAGTAGGGAGTGAAGGTCAGGGTTGGGTAGGGAGTGAAGGTCAGGGCTAGAGTAGGGCGTGAAGGTCAGGCATGGGAGTGCAGTAGTGACCCGCAGCCAGATGATCCAAATGTATTCTGAGGCTTCCAGCCTGGACCCCACCTCCTGGACCATCAAGCTGCTGCCACAGGCATAGAAATAAGGCTTGAAGAGATGAAAGAGATCTAGGACAACACACATCGTGGGAAGGACTGACCCGGGACTTGAGATTACAGGACAGGACTGGAAAATCTGAGATGGTTGGTCACCCTGTTTTAATGTAACTTTGCAAAGGAAACTGGATACATATTCAAATGGAAGCATATGCAGGGCTGTGCAAAGAGAAGTGGTGGGAGAATTGGATAAATCTTTCTAAATACCAGCAAGGTCTGGATGGGCCAAATAGTCTCCTTCTTTGTTGCAAGGTTCTTTTGAATTGTTAAGGCAGTAAACCTCTCTCAGGCTTTTCTCTTGTGTTGAAGGTAACCAAGCAAAATAGTCTGGGATTTGTGCCGACATTTACAATTTACATTCCTGAATCCTGATGCATTGCCTTCCTCAGGTAGTATTACCAGGTTCCCAACTGGATTGAGAATTGCACAAACATAGACAAAATTATTAGAGTGTATTTAGAACATACTCAGCCAAGAAGTTACCCAGACAGTAAAAGGAACAAAATAGAAGCAAATTTTCTGTTGCCGGAATTGCAAACTAAAAAGGGCTTCAAATTCCCCTTAGCGTTACATTATTGTTTATTCATCGACCGAGATTGTCTACATCTTCTGATTTCAATTGCTTGGAAATTTTCACTTCTGCTTCCCGTTTTAAATATTTAAATTAGGGCTCAAAGTGCACTTCTCGACAAACCAGCTGCGTGGTGGAGAACGGGCTTGAGCTTCGGGTGAGATACGTCTTTCACTCTGTTCACAATGACACAATGAAGTAAGTTGGAATCAATCTGGGTGAACCTTCCAAAAGATCCAGAGCAAAATTCAGGGGTGGCATGGTGGCTCAGTGGTTAGCACTGCAGCCTCACAGCACTAGGGACCTGGG